GTGTATCGCATTGCCAGCGTATTTTTCCATTTTCCGGTTGCGTTAATACTTTGACGGCCGCATGATGTTCAGACTACAATTAATAATTGTAGTACGTTCTTTGAGTTAAAAGTTAAATTACAGATTTTTACAATTACCTTCATACCACAGGTCCTCCTCATAAATCTCAGTTCAAATTTCGCTTTTTTTTCCCCTCCTCCAAAGAAATCGTGTCATCAAAGTATCATGCAGGCAACAGGATAATTTCCCAGAATTGTACATACTAGAACACAAACATCGAATTCGAGGCCTGGAATCGTTTTTGTCTTAGCGTCTTACAGAAATGCTGGTGGCAAAGTTTCACAGTTTTCGTGGCGACCATGAGGAAACGTCCCAAGCGGAGTGCCAATCTGAAAACTGAAAGTAACCACGATCAACGAAAAGATCGAGCATCTTCGAATCATCTCCGAGCATCTGTGAATCATCGATAATTCAGTCAGTCGATAAATAACAATGAGAATGACACAATGGTGGTGATAATGATAATAATGAATGACGATGATTGCAAAAGCAAAAGCACGTCATCGAATGGCACGAATCGATGGCAGAGTGTGGAGAAACGAGGTACTATACTCACGGTACAGAATAGCATTCGACAAAATGCATACCTACGGTGCTTTTCGTTCGATAAAGCTCGTCAATCCACGCGTCCATCCGTCTAGAAATGCATTGTAAAATTAGTCTTACTTCTACTAATAAATAATTCGAATAAATAAAACGTAAAAGCAAATTATCGGCGTTTTATTATTGAAACCGATAGATGATCCTCGCCTTCGTCTTAATCTCTTTGCGATTCGCTGATCGTAAATCCAAAGACTGATCGTAAAGAAAGTCGCTGCTGCAAAAAATGGTCCTTCAAAAAATCGTGTATTGTACATTATTGAATTAATGAGGAAACTGATGAAATTCGGTCAGATGTTGGTCGAAATGAAACAGAATAGCTCGCGCTTTGCATCTATTCCCAATACAAGAAGGGACCACATAGGTACGCACACCTGCTAAGACTAACCAGCGGCAGCTGCGTTTCATTTTCTTCACGGGTAATTTTTGAAGAGATCGATAATACAATCACATTCTTGTCTGACGTGTGACGTAAAAAAAAAATATGCACGAATCTTGCTACCTGTTTTTCCTCGTCGAACAATAGTCAAATACCAATTTGAACGATTACGCGATGACCACGGTGATAATGTTAACCACGGTCGTCGTGAATCATGAATCGCAAGTTGCAACTTACAAGCCAGTGAGTCGTGGTAACAAGACACCGCGTCGTCACGGGCATGAGGTCGAAAAACGAAAGGAGTCGCGGAATTTAGGTAGAGAGAGAAAGAGAGTGGTGGCGAGTACACGTACACGCGGGAAGCAAGATTAACAAGGCGATATATATCGTCTGGTGGGAGGTTGCCAGAGCGTTGGCGCCAGCTGACCACCGTCGCGCGCGTCGCGTCGTCGTCGGACGACCTACGCGAATGTATTCCGTTGTACGTGGACCACCGCACCGTTCCTCCGTTTCTTTTCAAGACCACTCGACCGCATTCGCAAATAATAATAATAATTAGTCTTATTGTATAGTTTCTCCCTTTTTTCCCTTCTTCTTCTTCTTCTTCCCTCTTTTCTTCCCATTCTACAATATGTACACAGGATACTGCCAAAAGTGTTTCCTCCCACCTATTCTTTCTAATAAAATATAAAAAAACAATTAGTCTTAAAATTACAGATTTATCTCGGTAGGAAGTGATTTTTGACTTACCCTATACAACATGTAGGTACAGGTATGTTTCCAAATTTTCTCCACCCCCTTTTCTTCCCATTCTACAACGTGTACACAGGATACTGTCAAA